TCGCGCGAGGCCCTACTGAACTGCCTCTTCGCGACGGCGCGCACCGTCGACGCCGCGAACCCGGGCTACGAGGGGAAGCTCGGCGACGGCATGGTCGACGCGGCGGCGCTCCTCGCGTGCGCCTGCGTCGAGACGCCGAGCTGCGGCGCGACGACGACGACGGCGGCGGCGCCGGCCGACGCGTGCGCGGGGCTCAAAAAGTCCAAGTGCAAGAAAAAGGCGGCGACCTGCGAGTTCAAGAAGCGGACGTGCCGCGCGAAGTGCGCGGGGCTCGAGAAGTCGAAGTGCAAGAAGAAGAAGGCGACCTGCGAGTTCAAGAAGAAGACGTGCCGCGCGAAGGCCGACTGCGCGGCGCTCGAGAAGAAGAAGGAGTGCAAGGCGTCGTCCTGCAAGTGGAGGAGCAAGACCAAGAAGTGCAAGGCGAAATGACGACCGCGCGCGCGGGATTTTGCCGGCCCGTCGTTCGGCGGGATAAGGCTCCTTACTGCGCGGGGATCTCGTCGGCCGCCGCGTCGACCTGCTCCTGGCAGCAGAAGAGGAGGCAGGGCGCGGACGCGGTGAGGGTGAGGGTCGTGTCCGGGAGGACGAGGGTCGTGGCGCCCGTGCGGAGCGCGTAGCGGTGGTCCGCGGAGTCGACGCAGATGGCCGCGCCGGACACGCAGACGAGGACGCCGAAGGACGGCGTCGGCGGGAGGTCCGCGGCCTCGCCCGCGGCGAGCTCGAGGCGCAGGAGGCGGAACTCGGGCACGGGCGGCGCGTAGACCGTCTTCGTCGGCGCCGGCGGGAGCACCGCGGGCGGGCCCATGCCGTAGGAGAGCATGTCGCAGAGCACGTCGACGTCCTTGAACTTGGGCGTGAGCCCCGCGCGGACGACGTTGTCGCTGCAGGCCATGGCCTCGACGCAGTCGCCCTTGAGGTAGGCGTGGGGCTCGCCCGCGGGCAGGAAGATGGCCTCGCCGGGCGCCTGCGTGGACATCAACCCGACTTCGTCGTGAGCGTATGCGACAGCTTCGACGCACGCTCTTCGGCTGTGCTTCGAGACCTCGACGAGAGCCATCGATTCGTCCAAAAATCAGCCGAATCGACGTCGATGTGATCGAGCTAGAGAGGTTTGAAGCTTTCGCCGGACGGGGCGTTCCACCGGTCGATTGCCACACGGCCGGGCGCGAGGACTAGGTGGTTCATGAGGTACGCGGAGAAGACGCCGACGTCCTCCGGGTAGTGGCGGTGGAGCCGCGCCGCGAGGGCGTCGTCGGCGGAGCCGGCGCCGAGCGCGAGGCGGCCCGCGAGCGCGCGCACGGCGCGCGCCGCGGCGGTTTCGTCGGACCGCATGAGCGCGCCGTAGAGGCCCCGGAGCGCGTCGCGCGCGGCGCCGCCGCCCGCCGCGGACCGCAGCGCGTCCACGCGGCCGCGGCCGACGAGGCCGACGAGCTCGGGGCAGGCGTCGACGGACGCGACGAGCGCGGCCCGGGGCTTGAAGCCGCAGAGCGCCTCGAAGCGCGACACCGCGCAGCACAGCTCGGGCTTGTGGTTCGCGTCGCGGTAGTTCGCCGGGTCCCGCGCGTGGAGCTTCGCGGCGAGGGCCTTGTCCGGGTGGGCCTGGATGCTCAGCGGCGCGGCGACGCTCAGCACCTTGAACAGGAACGGCAGCGCGTGCTTCCGGTAGAGCGGCGTGCCCCGCCAGTAGCGGCGCTCGATCCACGCGGAGAACTCGACGCGGCGGTGGGGCTCGGCGACGAGCGCCGGCGCTTTCGCGTGCGCGCCGACCCAGAGCTCCGCGTAGGGCGCGTCGGCCAGGATCTTCTCCCCGCGCGAGATCGACGCGAGCACGGCGACGAGCGAGTCGCGGCCCACGGCGCCCCAGCCGTAGTTCATGACGGCGCACTCCAGCGCGAGCACGCGCCGGAAGCTGCAGGTTTGCCTAAAGATGGGGCCAGCGTTCCGCGAGATCGGGGCGGGCGATGCGGTACGTCGGTCGAGCGCGAGCGCGGGCGTCGGACGCCGCGGTCTGCGTCATGCTCTGCGCCGGCCCGCAGTGGCACTCGCAGGCCAGGGTCGCCGCCCCGGATGAGAAAGTCGCCATAAGTCAGGCTTCTCGATTCTGTGCGCTTCAAAGCGCGCTTCAAGGGCGAGGGACGTCAAAAACTACTAGTACCAAAAAGCCCCCGCCCGCGCCGCGCTCAAGCATACACATTAGCGAGGTCAGTGGTCGTGGGAGGCGCTCTTCTTCCTCCCCCAGAGTTTGGTCGGCGCGGAGGAGCCCGTCTTGGAGGTCGGCGTCGACGCGGCCCGCGGCGCGTCGCCCGCGGACCGCGGCTTGTCGCGCGAGCCCGCGCTGTCGAGGGACGCGGCGGAGTTGGAGCGCGACAGCTTGCCGAGGGACATGGACCGGGAGAAGGAGCCGAGGAGCGCGTCGAGGCTCTTGCGGCTCGCCTTGAAGGGCGACTTCCGCGCGAAGCTGGGCTTGAGGCGCTCCGTCGCGTCCGGCGCGGGCAGGACGTCGACGACGAGGATCGTCGTGTCGTCGAGGAAGGCGTGGGACGTGGACGCGCAGCGCCGCGCCGTCGCCCGGCGCACGAGCTCCAGCAGCAGGTGCGCGCACTCCTGCGGGTCGTACGCGTGGTCGCGGTCGTGCCTGGGCGGGAAAAGAGTGATTCAACGTCGCTTCAACGTGAGTGTTCCGCGCGCGCGCGTTCCGGAAAAAGCATCCACGCTTCGAGACCGTTCCAAGAGATGATCGCTCGTCCAAAAATCAGCCGAAACGAGTGGAAAACGACCGAGATAGGAGCCTTTGAAGTTGGGAATTTCGCTCTCTTTTCCTGCCCGGGGCCGTGCGCGAGTTTCGCGACCGCTTTCGACGACGCGTAGGCCCACAACCCGTCGCTCGCGACGACATAGCGGCGGAACTCGCCGTCGCGGACGAGCGTCGTGCGCGTCCCGGGCTCGGGCACGAGGCCCCGCGAGCTGTCCCAGTCGCCGACGGACCGCGTCACGGACGTGGACGCGCCGACGACGACGCGCCCCGCGGCCTCGTCGCGCCACGTCGCCTCGACGACGACGGGCCCCGCGCGCTGGCCCGTCCACTCGTTGAGGCGCTGCGCGACGAGGGACCGGCACCGCGTGAGGTGCGGCGGCGCCGCGGCCGCGAGCGCCGCGTCGACGCGGCGCTCGTACTCCATGGACCGCGCGAGCAGGTCGCGGTCCGCATCATCTAGAGCGACGGGCCCCGCCGCCGCCAGCGCCCGCGCGTGGAAGGCCGCCCCGTCCTCGGCGCCCGCGGGCGCCGACGCCGCGAACGCGTCGCGGCACGCCCACTGCCGCTGTAGCCGCGCGACCTCGCGGTCGTTGCCCGCCGCGTGGGCCTCGGAGAAGAAGGCCGCGTTCGCCTCCGGGGCGAGCATGTCGATCTCCATGATCTGCGAGTCGCCGACCCACGCGCACGTCACGCGCGACCCGCCGCCGGCCTCGGGCCGGTCGACGACGAGCACGCTCGCCGTCGTGCCCTCGGAGAGGCGCCGCGGGCCCAGCTTCTCGTCGAGCTTCCAGAAGCGCTCCACGAGGTTCTCGCGCCGCCAGGCGTGCGACGCGCACGCGCGCGAGAGCGACGACCCGCCGTGGCCGTCGAAGACCGCGTAGACCGCCTCGTCGGACCCGACGGTCACGGCGACGCAGTCCTCGCCCTTCTTCTCGTAGCTCGCGATGCCGTGGGTCGGCAGGGGCACGTCGTTCCCGCAGAACGTCGCCGACCCGGAGTCGCCGCCCTCCGACGCGTCGGACATCGTCGTGGACGGTTTCCGTCGTTTTTTGACAGGCGCGACGACGTCGAGGTGGGGGAGCGTCGGCGCGGCCGTGCGAGCGCGGCCACGGGGGGGGGGGTAACCAGGACCGCGACCGCCGGCGGCCTCCCGGCAAGGCGAAAGCTCCGATGACCTCCCGTTTGAGCGCGCGCTCGTCGACGTCGTCGCCCGTGTTCCAGCACTCGTCCGGCGCCCTCGTGAAAATGAAGGAGGTGCCGTCGTGGTGAGGTTGGAGCCTGTCCGCGGCCGCGGCGTCGCACGGAGGGCCGGAGGCGAACGCGCCCCCGCGTGCGTCCCAGCAAGACGACCGCGGGAAGACACGGGCGACGGCTCTTTAGCGGGCGCCCCCGGGCGGTGGCTGGCGGGGGGCGCGGGGCCGGCGGGCGCTCAGCGGCGGTAGGCGCGGTCGTCGTAGGGCGCGGGCGGCGCGTCGTAGTCGCGCGGCGGCGGCTCGGCGTAGGCGGGCTCCGGGTCGTAGCGGTCCCGGGACCGGGACCGGTCGCGGGGCGGCGGCGCGTAGGCGCGGCGGTCGTCGTAGGCGTCGTACGCGCGCCGCGGCGGCGGCGGCCCGCGGGGGTCGTCGCGGTAGGGCCGGGGCGGCGGCGGCCCGCGGTCCGCGTAGCGGTCGTCGTAGCGGTCGTCGTAGCCCCGGCGGCGGTCGTAGCGGTCGTCGTCGTCGTAGTAGCGCGGCGGCGGCGGCCGCGCGGCGCCGCCGCGCGGCTCGTAGTACCGGTCGTCGCGCGGCGGCTCGGGCCGGCGCGGCGGCGCGCCGTAGGGGTCGTCGTAGGCCCGCGGCGGCGGCGCGCGGTCGTCGTAGTCGTCGCGGTACGCGCGGTCCGCCTGGCGGCCGTGGGCCGCGCTCGTGCGCTCGAAGAATTCCGACGTCGAGCCGCCCGTGGCGACGCACGCGAGCCGGGACCCGCGGAGCGTCGTGTTGTCGAAGTCGTCGATGCAGCGCCGGCGGTCCTCCTCGGACGAGAACTCGACGACGCCCTCGGTCCCCCGCGCGTCCGCGTACGACACCTCTCCCGATCGGCGGAACGTGTCCTTGAGCTCGCGCCAGTCGCAGCCCTCGGGCAGGCCGCTGAGCTTGACGCGGAAGCCGCCGGGGCCCTTGGGCCGCCGGGGCCGCGGCGCGCCGGGCTCGTCGCCGCGCCGGGGGCCGTCGTCGCGCGGCGGCGCGCGCATGTCGCGCGGCGGCGGCGCGCGCCCGCTCCCGGGGCCGTCGCGCGGCGCGCGGTCGCCCTTGCCCTTGGCGATGGCCACCGTGACGCGGTCCGGCCCGATCTCCGTGCCGTCGAGGCCCGCGACGGCGTCGGCGGCGTCGCGCTCGTCGCCGAACCAGACGAAGGCGAAGCCCGGCGGCGACTTGGCGACCCACAGCCGGTCGATGGTCCCGTAGTGCTGGAACGTCGCGCTCAGCGCCTCCTCCGTCGCCGACGTGCAGCCGCCGATGTAGACCTTCTTGGGGTCGTAGCCGCTCATGTTGGGCGGAGCGCGCGGCGCGTGCGGCGGCTCGCGAGTGGATGGCGACGGCGCAGCGTTGCCACAAGCCCGCAGCGCCGTCGGCCGCGTCGTCGCACGCGGTCGCACGCGGCGACCGCTGCGTCGCGTCCGGCGACCGCTGCGTCGCGTCGCGCGATGGGCGGCGCGGACCTCGAGGCGGCGGCGGCGGCGCCGCCGGCGCCGCCGCGGTCGCAGGTGCGCGCGCTCGCCACGTCCGTGCTGGGCCTCTTCGTCTTCTACGTCGCGCACGACGCGCTCCAGGAGCGCGCCTTCCGGCGGCCGGGATTCCAGTTCGGCTGGTTCATGACCGCGTGCGAGATCGGGACGATGGCGGCGTGCGCGCTGATCTGGGAGCGGTCGCCCGGCGGGTCCGCCAAGGGCCACGAGCCCGGCGGCGACGCGGGCCCGCGGCGAAAATACCTCGCGCTGCTGGTGCTGACCATCGCCGTGAGCCAGGGCACGGGCTCGACGGCGCTGAGGCACGTGAACTACCCCGTCAAGGTCGCGTTCAAGTCGTGCAAGCTCGTGCCGACGATGGTCTTCAGCCAGTGCCTCAACGGCGCGGCCTACGGCGCCGCCGAGTACGTCGCGGCGCTCCTCATGTGCGCGAGCCTCGCGCTCCTCGGCCTCGCGGACGCGCGGGCGGGCGCCGCGCCGAACCAGGCGCTCGGCTTCGTGCTCCTGGGCGTCGCCGTGTGCTCCGACGCCTTCGTGCCGAACCTGCAGCAGAAGCTGTTGCGGGGCCTGAAGATGCCCATCGGCGAGATGGTCGTCGTGTCCAACTGCGGGTCCTTCGCGCTCGTGCTCGCCTACGTGTCCGCGACGGGCGAGCTCGCCGCCGCGACCGCGTACCTGCGGACGCGGCCCCACGTCGTCGGCCTCCTCGCGGCCCAGGCCCTCGCGGGCTACGCGGGCCTGCGCTGCTACCTCTCCGTCATCCGCAACGTGTCCGGCGTCGCCGGCGTGCTGACGACGTCCGCGCGGAAGGTCGTCACGCTCGTCCTCAGCTTCCTCCTCTTCGAGAAGCCCTTCAGCGGCCAGCACGCCCTCGCCCTCGCCCTCCTCGCCGCGGGCGTCGGCCTCACGATCCGCGCGAAGCAGCGGCGCGGCCGATAGCATTTTTCGCACGGCCTTCCCTAGGCCCCAAGCTGGTTGGCTTAGTTGGTTGGCTTCAAGTTTGGCTTCTCATGTTGTTGAACGGAAACGTGAAGCCGCGTTGAAAGGGAAGCCTCGTGAGTCTAAGTGAGTCTGGTGGCTGCCCTTTCTTCCGCCATGCAGCAGGACGCGAGCAGCAGCGGCGACTGCGTCTTCGTGCGCGTCGTGCGCGGGCGCGGCCTGAGCGCGTCGCGGGGCCTCGGGGCGAGCCTCGGCGCCGCGGCGAGCTCCATGGCGCGGCGGTCGTCCGGGGCGGCGGCGCGGGAGCCGACGTGCCGCGTGCTCGTGCGCTGCGGGCGCCTCGAGGCGTGGACGGCGCCCGTCGAGGAGACGGCGGAGCCCGAGTGGGACTCGGCGAACCTCTTCATGTTCCCCTGCGACAACGTGAGGTCCGCGCGGCAGCTCGTCTTCGAGGTCTTCGACGGCGGCGGCATGTTCGACCGCCGCGTGGGCGCGGCGCGCGTCGCGCCCGGCGTCGGTTCGTTCGCGCGACGCGCGCCGGGACACGGGACGTTCGTAGGTCGCGCTGCGCGGCGGCGCGCTCGAGGCGCTCGCGCGGGGCTCCGGCGACGAGCGCGCGCCGAGGCTGCTGCGGCTGCTGAGCGACGAGGTCCTCGCGTCCGCGGACGCCGTCGAGCTCGGCAACGACGCGGCGTCCGCCGTCGCGGACGCCGCGGGCTTCGACGCGTCGTCGCTGCCCGACCTGCCGGGCGCGGACCGCGCGGCGAAGCTCGGCGAGGCGCTCCTCGGCGACGAGACGCTCGAGGTGCTCCTCTGGCGGGGCCACCGCAACGACGGGGACGGCCGCGCGGCGAAGCCCGCCGCGCGCCGCGAGTCGCGCGGGTCGGGCTCGGGCGACGGCTTCCTCGGCGCGTCGCTGTCGGCGCTGCTCTGCGCGCCCGGCGCCGACGACGACGGGCCGAGCCGCTTCGGCTTCTGCGACGACGGCGCGGACCTCGTCGACGACGGGCCCGCGACGCTCGAGCGCCGGGGGGGGCACGACGCGGCGCGGCCGCGGAGCGTGCGCTACACGGAGTGCCACACGGCGGTGCTGCGCGTGGAGACGCTCGACGCGCGGGGTTTGGAGAGCTCGCTGCGGGGCACGGCGCGGGAGCTGTGGCGGCGGCCCTACGTCGAGCTCCAGCTCGGCAGCCGCGTCGTCGCGCCGTCCAAGGGCGGCGGCGGAAGCCGCGGCGGCGACGAGGACGCGTGGATGACCGAGGACTTCTCCATGCTCGTGACCCAGCCCTACGCGGCGTGCCCCCTGCGGCTCCGCGTCATGCGGCCGCGCCTCGCGAGCGACCTGGGCGTCGTCGGCGACGAGATCCTGGGCGAGGTCGAGATCCCCCTCGCGCTCGAGCCGCCGGGCAAGCACTGCGGCGGCGGCGGCGGCGCGGCGGACCCGGGCCTCCGCGAGCTCCGCCTCGCCTACAACCCGGGCAAGGGCCTCGCCGCGGACGTCGCCCCGTCGACCTGGCTCCCGCTCCGGCGCCGCGTCGCGAATCGCGACGAGGCCGACGGCGTCGCCGCGTCGCTGCGCCGCGGGTCCGACGCGCCGCCGAGCCCGCGGCGCGCGGGCTCGCGGCGGCTCAGCAGCCGGCGGCGCGCGGCCGTGTCCGAGAGCTTCTCCAGGTCGCGGTCGCGAAGCTCGATCCGCGCGCTCGGCGACCACGTCGGCGACCTCCGGGTCCGCGCGTGGATCGACGAGGGCTACTTCCACCGCGACAACGACGCCATCGCCGAGGTCGACGTCGCCGTCGGCCTCGCGACCTTCAAGCTCCGCAAGCTCCGGGAGACCATGGACGTGCTCGGCGCGACGCGGGCGCGCGCCGGCGGCGTCGTCGGCGCCGTCGGCGGCGACTGCGACCCCTACTGCGTGCTCCGGTCCGCGCCGGAGTGGGCGAGCCTCGAGCCCCGCCGACGGCTCGAGGACACGGCCGACGGCTACGCGAAGTTCGACTTCGGCGGCGACGTGCGTTTGGGCGTCGTCGACCCCAACGACCAGGTCGTGCTCGCCTTCTACGACGCCGCGAACAACCACGCGCCCCTCGGCAAGGTCAAGGTCCGCGCGTCGGGCCTCGCCACGGGCCACGAGTACCGCAAGACGCGCGTCGCCCCGCGCGCGGCCCCGCTTTCTTACCGCCGCCGCCGACGGCGCGCGGCCCCGCAGGTGCGCGCTCGTCGTGCCGAGAAGAAGGGCGCGAC